TGGTCCTTCCCCCCCCCCCCTCCCATTTATTTATTATTATTGTTTTTTCCGGTTTGATTTTAATTTTTCGTATCCGTGGTCTGAGAAGGAGAGAAAAATAAATTGACGAATGCAGCCACGTGTAAGAGGAGATTGAAATCTGGCCGCTGGGACCCACCGCTGACGTGGAAAAATCGATGGACACCCTTTTTTTCTTTTTCTTTTTTTTGTTAAACTCAAATTAAAAAATAAATTTAATTAATTTTTCAGATAACTTTATTTATATTATTTTTTTAAAGATTAATGCTTTTATATTTATATATGCTATTTTCTTTTGGGCGTGACAAAAAAAGTCATGAGCAACTTGCTTGGTTGTTATATATTAATAGAAACTTAGGAAATAAAATGTATTTATATTAATTTATAGTAAAGTTTGTCAAATATTATTGTATTTAATGTTCATTTCAAATTTTAAGGTTTTTTTTAAGGACAAAATGTTGAAATAAGTCCAACATTTTCCAGCTCTAAAATTAGTATTACTTACCAAAACCATTATTCCTAAAAAAAATTAATATTTTTTAAAAAAATATTAAACCCTTTTTTTCTAAGCTTTAATAGATATTTAATAGCGAATTATTTTAAAATTTTATTAAAAATATACAATTTGGATAAGAATAAAATAATTTAATGAATGGGGAAAAGGACCAGCTCAGTTGCGTATTAGTGGAGAACTTCCTGGATGAAAGCCAATGAGAATTGGGCACGTGGATTCGATGGTGGAATTTTAAGTACAAAAGCCACCTTGTATTGGAATATTTTCCACAAATATATAATAATCCGGAAAATAGATAATTTATTTTTTTTACACCTAATCACCTAATTAAAACACAATTAATAACAAAATTTTGATTATTTTGAAAATTGACAAAAATAAATAAATAAATAAATAAGATAACTTAATTATGTATATTATTAAGTGTGGTTAAGCGATAATCTTTTTGATTTAAGGATTTAAAAATATAAAAAAAATGGTTTTAAGGATTATTTTTATAATTTTAAGAAAATCTAAGAGTAAAGGAGTTTGGTTAATTATTGTTGGTGGCATTGACCATCTATAAATTTTATCCAAAAAATTAATTAATTAATTAATTGGGTCTTATTAAAATAATGGAAAATGGGTTTTACTTTAATTACAAAACCAGAAACATGTAGAGACCTTCATGGAAATACTTTCCCTCCATAATCAACCATCAATATAATCGAATAAAAAAAATATTTTCAATTTAAAAATAAATAAAAAATTCGGTATTTCATATGATCTAGTTACCCGAACTACTTAGTCTGTCTAACTTAAATCGATCTGGGTTGGATTATATACTGATAAAAAACTATTTTTACAACTATTTTTTTGAGTTGACAAAAAAATTAAAAATTCTTCACACTATTCAAATACACTAAAAGTCAAACATGAACGGTCCAAATCTAATAAAAGATGTAATAAATTGTACTGTTAGATAAAGATATTTAAAATTACGAACACAAAAAGATCATTTTCTTCCCGGATAACACTTTCAATAAATTTTCAAAATTCAAATATAATTAATAACAGAAAATTGCAAGAATGAAAGAGAAAGGAAAATAAAAGATGGAAGAATAATTTTTATTTATTTATTTATTTATTTATTGTAAAAAAAAAAAAAAAGAAAGGAATTTGAATCTCAAAGCCATCCATGCTTGCAATTTGCTTGGAAAAGGTAAAGTGATAATTAAATAAATTAGAAGGGTATTTTTGGAAATAAAAATAATGACAAATTTGAAGATATTTTAAAGCAAATAAATAAATAAATAATTTGGTTGCGTCAAAAGTTAATGTGGAAAGCGGTCGGCTAGTGCGTGGAGCCCGTGACAATTGCTACTAATGACGTGTTTTCAACGTATTAAAATAATAAATTAAATAATATAAAATTGATATATTAAATTAAAATATATATATATATATAATTTATTTATGTCTTACAATTCTTCAATCAAATAAATAAACGGGAAAATAAGTTGAATCCGTCATTTCAAAAAATAAAAACAAATATTTTATTTATTTTAATATTATTTCTATCACGTAGACCTTTAACTTATTTTAAAATATTTATTTCAAGACCATTTTATTTTATATTTTAAATCAGTTATGATGAATATAGAAAATATTTTTGACTTTTGTAAGGAATATATATATATATATATAGATATTTCTAAAAATAAAATTAAAAGAAAATGATGCAATTTGTGATGGGACGTCCACAGTTTTTGGGTCTGGCCCATGGTTTTCAATGTTACTTCAAATACAATTATAAATTATAATAATAATAATAAAAAAGAATATTTAAAGTAGACCAATCAGGGATACAATTAGTAATTGGCTTCGAAAAGTGGAAAAAGACAAAATAAAAATAATTATGGTATTTAAAAAAAAATCATTAAAAGAAAAGGGTAGTAACGGGAAATTTAAAATTAGAGGTTTAAGCCACAACCACAATAAATAAATAAATAAATAAAATTATTAGAGGAGAAATAATAATAATAATAAAAGTGAGAAAGAGCCACTTATCTTCATCTTCTTTTTATTTGTTTCCATTGACCTTGGAGTGACGTTTTATTTATTTATTTTTAATTAATTTTTTTAACCACATTTTCCTATTTGTATGGGACCACTCAAAGGATGCACTGACGGTGGAGATGGGGAAGACTTCTCTTTCTCCGTCTCGTTGTCTATTTCAAATTTTATTTTTACGAAATTATTTAGTTCTTTTTATGGGTATCGAGAGAATCGATGCGATCAAACTCCATAATTTATGAGCCTACGTAAAATGGTTTAGATATTTTAGAAAAATAATTTTTAAAACAGATAACATATAACCATGAAGATTTTAATGTGCTTGAAATATAAAACTAATTTTATATGCTCGTAAGTATTTTGACTAATTTAGACACATCGCAGCTAATCACACGAGATAATTAATCAGCTAAATTATTATATCATCTTGAGAAAGATCGTCGGAGCGAGTAATGAAAAGAAGGTGGTGATTTGCTAAGGAATTAGATGTAAGTTGGCTGAGGAGGAGCGACGGAAATTTCCGCCGTCGGAAGAATGGATCGGCGGAGGATGAAGGCGGAGGACGCCGCTGAAGAAGGCACCGGTAACAGCTCCGATCACCGGAGCTGTAATGTATATCCATATGTCATCGAAAGCCCATGAAACCATTGCGGGCCCTAATGATCTTGCTGGGTTCATCGATCCACCTGAAATGGGCCTGCATTCACTCAAAAGCCCATTAGGCAAAATATAATTTCTATTTATTTTTTAATAAAATTTGTTTAAAATTAATTAATCTATATTTGAAATTATTGAAACTAAATTTTTAAATTTGAAAATTCATGCGACTAAATTTGTAATTTAACTACACCTACCCGGCAATAAACACAGCAAGCCCGATGGCCATTCCAATGACAAAGCCCGACAATTGACCACCCTGCATCATGCGACCAAAAAATGTGTGTACTTTAACTTAGTAGACTATAAAAAGTATCCGATCGATTTCTAAACTGTATCAAGTCGAACTTTCAATTGAATCATTTAATGGGTTTAAAATTGAAGATTAAACATGTAATTTAACTTACGGGTCGGGGTCGGGATTGATGGGGTAAAGAAGAAATGAGGAACATGAGGATGAAGGTTGCAAGAAGCTCAACGAAGAAGGCAGACATGGAGCCACGAAATGGTCGAGTGGTCAATTGTTGTGGTTTAATGTCGTAAACGAACATTCCTGCATATGTCGCCATTACACAACCTGTCGTCTGAGCCACCGTGTACGGCATCACCTAATTTCCGACAAAAACATCCTTAATTCCAAATTTTAAAATTTTAAAATTAAAAAAAGAAGTATTATAAGAATTTTTAATCGTACCCAGGACCATGGAAAGTGACCAAAAATGGCAGAGGCAAGAGTGATGGCAGGGTTGAAATGAGCACCGGAAATGGGAGCAAAGCAGAATGTCAGAACGCCGACAGTCAACCCGGCGGCGGCGGCGTAGTCCAATAAACCCACCTGACCGCCCATCATCTGGCCGGTCGCCGCCACTCCACTCACGCAAATCATTAGCAAAAAAGTCCCCATCATCTCTCCCAAAACCTACACCAAAAGAAACAAGAAAAAAACATGTTAGAGCCTCCGCCGCCGTTGTTGTAATCGGAAGGTCCGGTGGGTTACCGGGCGAGCTGGATTATGGTCCATTATCGTGGGTTGTGGGGAGCATAAGAGGCCATTGTTGTCGGAGACGGCGGTGGGGATTGGATTGGTATTATTTGAGGCCATTTGTTGGGGGGTTGGGCAGTGGTTGTTGAAGGGTAGTTTTAAACTTTTAAAGCATGAGTTTGATGATGGAGTTTAAAAATGGGTCTGTTTTGGTGGGGTAAATTCTGCTTATTTTAAAGCCTTTTTGGCGTGTTGCAATCCGCTCCGTCTTCCAAGCGTACGTAATGAGTTCACACCGTTTTGCCCATAACACTAGTGACGTACATTTTTATTTGCGGGCCTATGAGAAGCGATTTCTCTTTCATTAATTAAATGGAGCCAGAGATGATATTATATTTCCTCACCACTGATCCGCTTAGATCACTATATTTAAATGCTTTCACACTATCACTCCCATATCTCTCCGTCGTCACTTTCACCATGGCTATGTTAGGAATCACGACTCTCCACAATGGTATGATATTGTCCACTTTGAGCATAAGCTCTCATGGCTTTGCTTTGGGCTTCCCCAAAAGGCCTCATACCAATGAAGATAGTATTCCTCACTTATAAACCCATGATCTTCCACTAAATTAACCAATGTGGGACACTCCCAATCCCAATAATCCTCAACAGGCTATTGGTCGTAACAACCACTACTAGCGGTCACACAATTGCTAGCCATTGCCACCACCAATGATCACACAGTTGATAGTCATTTGATTAAATAAGCGCCAAATTGGGTCATAATATGTGGACTCGAAGTTCAAATAAACCAAATGGGTCATAAGAAGTAATTTGGTCCAAATCCAACCAAGCCCAAATCCAAACGATTGAGCACAAAAGTCATTTGAGTCAAAGTGCACACCACCTTCGAAAAAGATCCGAACGTATAAGATCAACAAACAAAAAACCACTCGAACATACAAGATCAATAAGCTTAAGGTCAAACAAAAAAGCAAGACCATCGAGTCAAGGGTTGATTCAACATATGTGCAAGATCACCAACCAGCAAACTCGATAAGTTTGCTTGAGAATAGCTGCTACAATTCTCGAGTCAAACATACATACAAGAAACTATATCCACGGGACAGGGATGATGATAAGGAGAAGCCTTCTTATCTCTATCTCCATCCCGATCACCTATTTTAATCCTCATAGGAATTGGGGTAAGGAAATCACTTACGAATTTTTTTTACAGAAACCAAATGTTATAAGATCGATGAATATAATAAGAAACGAGTCGTTTAAAAGCATCGTTTTCTTCAAAGCCAGCTACGATTGGGCACGCTCGCACGACTTTTTGATCCAAATCTCGAATTAAATGCAATGGAAGTCATGTCCCCCACCATCCAAACTATAATGTTAATTAAACTATTCAATCAAAAACAGCAACAATTTATTAATCAATGAAGATTAATTAATTAATCAAGGTTTAGCAGTAAAGTTGAAATTAGAACAAGTAGTCATCCGCCCCAGAAGAGTGGAGATAAATCCAAGCCGTGAAGTGGCCAAATCAAATTCAAGCAAAGCATCCTGAATCTGGTGCGCGCCGATCACGATCGAGGTTCTCGGCTCCACGCCGCCGTTCACGAATCCCAAGCACAGAACCTTCTCATTCACCTGCACCATCGAGTTGGCGCCGAAGATTCTCCAGATCACGTTTTTGTTCTGTAAAATCAAATCGATCGACGGCATCCCCGGCCCCAGCCGGGTACTTCCAAAGCTATTCGCATTGAAACAAACCTCAAACGGCGCCACCGCCGGCACTCTCGGAATTTTCCGGAGCTCTGTCGTGAACGTTTTCAACACCGCCTTGTAAATCGACGATTCCAGGACGGTGTATGGGTTCACGGTGCTGATTTTGGTGCCGCCGATACCCTTGCTGTTGATTTTGAGGAGGGTGGTGTTGAGTGTATCAAGTTTATGCAAAACTGTGCCTCACACTATTGAGGACATATTCTATTTATATTGGCAAAAGATTAACTAATAGATCCGATTTCATAGGAAACTAACGAAGTAAGCCTATTCTTATGGCATGACTAACTTCAAGCTATTCTAATGGATTGACCAATTCTAACAGTCCCCTTCAATCCCAACAAGTCTTGTACATGTTGAGATTGTTACAATGTGTAGTAAAAGGAGTTTTAGACAGTGGTTTTGTCAGGATATCAGCTACTTGATCACTTGATGAAATGAACCGAACTTCCATTGCTTTACGTGCTACTTGTTCTCGAACAAAATGAAAATCAACTTCAATATGTTTCGTTCTAGCATGAAATACTGGATTTGAAGTTAAATATGTAGCTCCGAGGTTGTCACACCAGAGGCGAGGAGCCTTTGATTGATACACGCCCAGTTCCTTCAGTAATGACTTGATCCAAATCATTTCTGCAGTAAGATTCGCAATGGCCTTGTATTCTGCTTCGGTGCTTGATCTTGACACTGTAGCCTGTTTTCTGGAACTCCATGAGATTAGATTTGCTCCAAGAAATACAGCAAAGCCGCTAGTTGAACGTCGATCATCGGGACAACCAGCCCAATCAGCATCAGAAAACCCCGACAACATCATGGTTGATTTCTGAATTTTCACTCCTAATGCTAGTGTGCCTTTAACATAACGAAGAATTCTCTTCACAGCACCCCAATGAGCATCAGTAGGTGTATGAAGATATTGACACACTTTATTGACAGCAAATGCCAAATCAGGCCTAGTCATTGTCAAATATTGTAGTGCTCCCACTGTACTTCTGTATTTGAATTGTTCTTCAGCTGATAAGGGTATTCCTTGTTCTCTGAATAATTTTTCAGCAGAACCCATTGGTGTAGACATAGGTTTGCATTTTTCCATGTTTACTCTTTTCAACAAATCTAAGGCATATCGTCTCTGTGACAGTATGATACCATCTCGTGTTTTCTTGACTTCAATACCCAGAAAATACTCAAGACCACCCAAATCTTTTACTGCAAAATCTATTTTCAATTTCTGAATCAACCTTTCGGTTGCTTGATCAGAGGAGCTCACAATAATTATATCATCAACATAGATGAGCATATAGATAGTTATCTCTCTGTTTTTGAGAATAAAAAGAGATGAATCAGCTACTGAAGCCTTGAAGCCTAACTCAATAAGTTTTCCAGTCAACCTTGAATGCCAAGCTTTTGGGGCTTGTTTCAGGCCATAAAGGGCTTTCTTGAGCTTGCATATGTAATTCTTTGGTTTGGCTGAGTCTTGAAATCCTGGTGGTTGTCGCATGTACACTTCCTCTTTCAGAATTCCATGCAAAAATGCATTTTGGATATCAACTTGTCTCATATTCCAGCCCTTGGTTACTGCTAGCGAAAGAATGACCCTGATTGTTGACGGTTTGATCACAGGGCTAAAAGTATCAGTGTAATCAACACCAAATCTTTGCTTGAATCCTTTGGCAACTAATCTTGCTTTTAATCTTTCAACTGACCCATCTGCTTTTCTTTTCACTTTATACACCCATTTACTATCAATGAGATTTATTCCAGGTTTGGGTGGAACTAGATCCCAAGTGGCATTTCGTTTTAGCGCTGAGAGCTCATCATTCATTGCTCCTCTCCATCTTGGATGTTGCATGGCTTCCTGCAGGTTTCGAGGTTCAGTAGCAGTCTCTATGATCGGAGTTGTGATAGTTACAGCGCTTGCGAATTTTCTTGAGGTTTCTGAATATCTGATAGTTCCATCAGTGAATTGTTTAGCTTGTACAATGTTATTTCTCAACCTTGTTCGCATTGGATGTTGACTAGCTGCTTCAGTTGGTTGATCAGACACATGTTCATGAGTTTGGTTTTGAGCATTGATCGAACTGCTCTCAGCTTCATATTCTGCAATTTCCTCTGAACTTCTTGTATTATCTGCAGAAGATAAGCTGACACCAGACAAGTTGTCACTAGCAATATTATCAGTTTGACCATCATTCATATGGGAATTACTAACAACTGGTTCAATATCTGTAAGAGCATTTTCAGTGTAAAAACTAGCAAGTTTGGCTAAGGCTGGAAGTAGAACAGGATGATGTGGATTTGTGGTTTTGTTTGGTGGCTTAGATTCTTCAAAAGGAAAAATATTTTCATCGAAAACCACGTCTCTAGAGATGTAAATACGTCCTGTACTTCTATTTAAGCATTTATATCCCTTATGAGAAGAACTATAACCCAAGAATATACATCTAGTAGTTCTGAAACTCAGTTTCTTGTTGTTGTAAGGCCTTAAATTAGGCCAGCAAGCACAGCCAAACACCCTAAGCATGGAGTAGTCTGGACTTTTACCAAACAATTTATGAAGTGGTGTGTCTTGTTGTATGGTTCGGCTGGGCATTCTATTTATAAGAAAGCAAGCTGTGTTGAAAGCTTCATCCCAGTAGGATAGAGGCATGTTGGCTTGAGCGAGTAAAGCAAGGCCAGTTTCTACAATGTGTCTGTGTTTTCTTTCGACTAACCCATTCTGCTGGTGTGTGTGAGGACAGGAGATATGATGTTCAATGCCTGTGGATTTGAAATAATTGTGTAACCGATGGTATTCACCCCCCCAATCTGATTGGACGGAGCGAATTTTGGTATTTAGCATAGTTTCAACATGTTTTTGAAATTGAAGGAACACAGACTCAACATCAGATTTGCATCTCAGAAAGTAAATCCAAACATAACGACTAAAATCATCAACAAAGGAAACATAATATTTGGAATTATTTACTGACGCAATGGATGGACCCCATACATCAGTGTGAATTAATTGAAGGGGTGCTGTAGATACATGCTGAGAAGAACCAAATGGCAATTGATGTGCTTTCCCTAATTGACAAGCATTACAAATTGAGGAAGAGGGAATATTAGTATCTATAGCTAAATTATTATCTTGTAGAATTCTAATGGTAATTGGAGATGCAGGGTGCCCTAGCCTTCTGTGCCATTGTTCTTTCGAAAGTTTGGCTGTCAGCAAGGCTTGACTGAAATTATGCGGTAGAACGTATAGGCCATTCTTACATCTACCGTGGAGCAGGAGTTTCTTCGTGACTCGGTCCTTAACCAAAAAATAGTTTGGGTGAAATTCT